GGCTGCGGGGCCCGAGTACTGGGCGCGCTGTGCTTGCTGCTGTCGGTGGGCTCGGCCGCCGCCTGCCTGCTGCTGGGCGCCCAGGCGGCCGCACTGCACGACCGAGTGGCGGCGCTGGAGCAGGAGCGCGAGATGTTGCGACGTGCGGGGTCGTCCGGAGCCCTGACCGCCTGGGCCGAAACGCACCTGGAGCGCCTGCTGCGGGAGGTGAGACGCACGATGGCCTGCCGGGTGATGTCCCGCAATGCGCCGGGGTAGAGGAGTGTGGGGACGCGGGGGAGGCGTGATCGTCACCCCTAGGAATGGGGCTCACCCAATGGATTGCACTGGGGTCGTTGGTCCTGAGGTGTCCTGCTCTCCAACTCCGGTGCTGGGACTTGAATCTGTAGGAAAAAATAATCCAAAGGGCCCGTTTAGGGGACACGCAGGAGCGGGAGTAAAGTAAGACCTTGGAGTAAGGGTCCTGAGCGCTGCGGTTCTACTGAAGTGTGCGCTCAGACCCACCGTCTCCCGTCTGATCCCAGCGCCCAAGACACTAAGGAGGCTCGTGCGTCCCATGCCTAGTCGGCCTGTAACAGCCCAGACCCATCAAAGCTTGGGCCAGCCCTCCCTCGGTGCCCGGGAAGGTTTGGCTGGGAGCGACTCCGGCTTGAAAGTGCTGTGTTCTTAAACTGACCGGCTGAAAACCTCTTGTGAGCAGTGCACAGCAAGGACGCAGCTGAGCTGCCTATGAGTTCATTTGTCTACTGCGATCTCCGCAGTGCACTCCAACGTGTCTTAAGTTTGTCTTCTTAGGGTTAAGACTGCTGTTGTCGGCTGGGCTTGGTGGCTCATCTGTAAAACCAGGGCTTGGTAGGCTAGGAGCTGACTTAAGCTATATAGTTAAGACCCAGGTCCAGCCTGGGCTACAGAATAAGACATAAAACAACAGCAGCGGAATATGAGTGGTGCATCCCTTTAATCCCAGTACTTTGGAGGCAGAGGCAGATGGGTATCTGTGAGTTTGAGGCCAGCCTGTCTGGGACAGCTAGAGCCAAATAGTGAGACCCTGTCTCGAGAAATAAAAATAATAATAATAATAAAAATAGTAAAAAGATGGTCACTTTACACTCAGGCCTCTAAGCCTGGGCATCTGATACGTTGGGCAGAAGCTCGACCTTTCGTGCAGCAAGCCTCTTTCCTGTGAACTATGGCAGACACCAGCACACTAGCCAGTGTTTTTCTTGGTTCTGTTTCCCTTGTGGAAATGGTTATCCTCCTCCTGAGTGTGATGGCTGTCCCAGATCTGAGGTGGGAATGTTGGAAGGGGTTCACTCCTAAGCACTGTAGAAAGTGAATCTTGCTTCATGGTAGAAGAAGCAGGAAGGCAGGTGAGCTATCTACCACCCATTCCTAAGCTGGATCCATCTGTGATCTTTGTTACTATACTGGACTGTACTGGGGGTGTAGCTCAGTGGTTGGAGATTTGCTTAGCATGTTCAAGGTCTTGGGTTGCACCCCTGGAATCAGATACATATATTGAGCTGTATACCCAAGGTGGGGTAAATTTGGAGTTTCAGAAGGAATGTTCCCCACAGTTCCTTCTTGGTAGCTTTAATAAGTCAATATTACCTCTCTGCTCGGTTCTGGGCAAAGCTGCTGCTTCCTGAATGATTTCCTCTTTCCCCTTCTTGAAAGTGCCTGCAGAAGGCAGAGCCCTGCCAGCAACTTATGGCAGTAGTTTCATAATTGCCACCATTATCCTCTGTCAGCCCCTTAGAGACCTGGGTGTTGAACTGTTTTGTGGAGGGCCAGTTACTTTCTACCTGTGACTATCCCAACCATGCTGTCCTTTCTTTTTCTTTTTCTTTTTCTTTACTTTTTTCTTTTTCAAGACAAGTTTCTTTGTGTAACCCTGGCTGTCCTGGAACTCACTCTGTAGACCAGGCTGGCCTCGAACTCACAGAGATCCTCCTGCCTCTGCCTCCCTGAGTGCTGCAGTTAAAGGCATGCGCCATCACCGCCTGGCTCATGCTGTCCTTTCTAACGAGAAAGAATAAACCACAAACTGTAATAAGGAAACCAGAAATTTCTGGAAGACCTTGTATGAGGAGCTCACAGGTTTTGTCCAAACTAATAGGGAGGGATTTGTGAGAAATCACACACACACACACACACACACACACACACACACACACAAGTGTTGATATGTTGATATCTTGTGGTGGGGATGGACCTGGGACCTTGCACGAGCTAGACACTCTACCACTGAACAAAGCCTCTAGCCCAGACGCTGGCTCTTCAGTCCCATGGTCTCCTCCTGTTTCTCCTGTCCTTTTCCCTGTCTTCTCTTTCTCCCCCTCTTCTTCACCCTTCTCTTCCTTCCTCTCCCTTCTCTTTTTCCCATTCTTTTCCTCTTCCTCCTCGTCCTTCTGTTTCTCCCTTTCCTTCTTGCTATTACCCTTACTTCTCTTTTTTAGAAATTTTTTTTTTTGAGATAGAGTCTTGCTCTATAGTCCAGGCATGCCTGGGAATCACTGTGTAGCCCAGCCCGATCTCAAATTTGCAGGGATCCTCTTGCCTCTGTCTCCAGAGTGCTGAGATTACAGGCATGCATCACCATGCTAAGCCTCATACTTTTTTCCTTCGCTAAGGCAGGGTCTTTCTTGTTATGTAGCCCTGGATGGCCTTGAACTCAATGCTGGCTTCCTACCTTGAATTTTAAAGGCATAGGGAAAAAAATTCAGGCCCTGAGATACCCTCCCCTACCTACGGAGAACTGCTGTACTCTTCAACACATGGTGCCATGACTGTGTATCCGTGTTCTGAAGCACTGCAGTGCTGAGTCAGAGAAGACCCAGCACCAACACTTCAAGGTGGTTTGTCTGCTGGGGGTGTCTCTATCCCTAGTGACAAGGTCTCACTCTCCCTGTGTGCCATTTGGTTCCTGCTGCTTGTTAAATGTTTCTGAGCCAGGCAGTGGTGGCACAAGCACTCGGTAGGCAGAGTCAGGCGGACCTCTGTGAGTTCAAGGCCAGCCTGGACTACAGCGCGAGTTCCAGGACAGGCACCAAAGCTACACAGAGAAATCCTGTCTCGAAAAACAAAAAACAAAACAAAACAAAAGTTTCTGGACGGGAAATGCACACACTGATCATGATGGGAGACCTGCAGGAGGCACTTTCTGGGAAGCCCACAGTTAGCTTGACCTCAATGCGCATATAGGCTTTCTAATCATGAGGTAAGGAGGATAAATACTTATCGAACTGAACATCTCTTAGGGAAAGGATGCTTGGATTCAGCGTGTTTCCTAGCTTGCTTTGCTCCCTGATAAGCCCCTTTTTAAGTTACTGCTGAAGTAACTATGTATATACAAGTGCCTGCCATTTGCTCTTTAACCAGTAAAGTCGTGTGTAGAGGATCCGAATCAGAAATTATGTCCAAATTTTAAAAAAGAAATTCTTGCCAACCACACACAAGTTTAATGTCAGGGGGAATAAAATGAGTCAACAAAAGCCACTGTTTATAGGGGACCCACTGTCCCTGTTCCCTTGGGAACAGAACCATGACATCAGTTTTTCTCGGACTGGCTGATGTGCCTGATAACGCAGCTACAGAGAGAATTCATGTTCTGTCGTGATTATCGAGGGACCCTTCCTGCAGTACGTAAGGGAAAGAAAGGACTTTCAGAATATCAAAACAAGATCTCTAAGCAAGAGCCATTAAAGGCAGTATCTTTAGTAGGATCTAAAAATATTCATGCAAAACCAAACATCTCTTCTGCTTTGAAAGTGCCTTAAGGAACTGCCCAATTAATCACCAGCCCAGCAATTACATCTCCAGCTACAGTGTTGCAGAAGCCGAGAGTCCAGAATGCATAGCTTTCATACTGCAGCGAAAAACTTAATGCAAAGGATTAAAGAAATACTTGGTTCAGAGGAGGCCCTTTCCAGCCCAGAGTGGATTTATTGTTGGCCCTTGGCCTTCTATTGTCCAGACCAGTTTGGAAACAAGAAAAGCCCAGAAAGTTGGATAAAACTCTCCTTCCTTCTTTCTCCTTTCCTTCCTACATGTATTGGCTGTGTTACTCTCAAATCCAGAATCTAGGGTGGCTTTCTCAGTCTCTCTGGTAGTCAGCTGCCCAGAGCTGCTCTGTGGAGTCTCTGTTAATAAAGAAGCCTAGAAATGGGGTATAAATCAACTCTGACTTGTTTCCTTGACACTTCCCAGCTCCTAACAGCCGCCGCCCCCCCCCCCCCCCCAACAAGTTTCCTTCCAATTACTTTCTGGCACACTTACGTTCTCTTTCTTTACTTTCCTTCTTTTCTTACTTTCTCTTTCCCCTTGCCTTTAAAACTTGTTTTAATGCTGCCGTTTGGGAGAGCTTCATAACAATAGCAACATGTTTAGAAGAAGTCAACTGTGTGGGATGTTCTCTCCAAAGACACTTTAGAGTTATTAAACTGGTCATTTCCAGGCTGACTTTGAAGATGAGGGGCAAGACAGGCTTCTGGAAGGGGAGTGGGGCACTCTGGGAGCTGACCGAATTCTTCCACGGGACTGAGCAGGGCAATGCTGCACATGGTGCTCACCCCAAGAAGGGATTTTGAGACCTGGCCCCGATACGAGCTGTCTTTCAGGTTATTCAGCTTCCGGCACTTCAGCCTCCTTTTTCTAACACAGTGATCTAACAGCACGGGTGATGAGAAGCAAGCCCACTGATGCTGAGGCCACTCCCGGTTTACACTAGCTGGGGTTAGGATGTAGATTGAGATAATCCTCCAAAGGCTCATGCCACTGAGAGCCTAGTTAAACCAGGATGCCAGGGCCGGGAGGTGGTGTGGGCCCTTTAAGAGGTGGTGGAGCCAAGTTGGGGTCCTTAGGTCAGTCTCAGGCATGCTGACCTTTCGATTAGAGGCCGCCATCCTTCTCTGACTTCCTGATGGTCCTGGGATTCATACTCTCCCCGTTCATCCTCTGCTGCTTTCTCTTCCTCTCCCTCCCTGCCATCATACCATCTGCCAACAGGTCATGACCAGAGGCAAAAAGAAAGGGGCTGCCTGATCTTGCCCTTTCAGTCTGCAAAAGTGTGCTGAATGTCTTTTCTTTATAAAATAGTCTGTCAATAGGATTTTATTATAATAATGAAAACCAGGTCAATAGTCAGACAAGGTCTTGCTATGTAATCCAGACTGGCTTTGAACTCACTATGTAGCCTAGGCTGACCT